ACATGTCCCTGGCGATCTCTTTGGCTGCTTGATTGATCTCGCTGGGCCGATGGTTCGGGCCGGTCCTCCACGCGTGCACTGGCGGCGCTGCCAACTCATGTCTGAACGCTTCTTGAAGATCTTTGTCATGTAACTTGTTTCTGTCCATGGCGCACGGTTTGCGGGCGCTGGCTGGCCTTTCTACCAGCATGGCACTGCGCGCGACTACTGGTACGTGGTCTCTGCTGAGTACTCCTGCGTCGAAGTCGCTGAGCACTTTCACCTCAGCGGTGGCATGTAGGTACTGCTTGCTTGCGGCCATGTAGCCGATGCGCATATTGATGCCGCCCTCTGTTGCGCAGGCTGTCTTGGGGAGTGCCCACGCAGTGCATTGGCCAAGTGTAGGCGGAGAGTCTTCGCGAAGCCTCTCAAGAACACTGCGCCGTCGTCGCCTTTGTCGCGCGCGCTGCGCGCGATCTGCGCTGCCCACATAATGGCGCCGCGCTGAATGTCGCGCTGGCGTCCGACAGGATCATCGTGGGTGGCCACATTGTGCTTGGATGGTTGACTTGATTCCACCGAACTCGACGCCCCTTCTTCTCGTCGCCCTTGGCGCGATGTGGCGCGTGCCAAACGCGGGCGGCATCGTGCATTATTGGTGCGCGGAAGATCGCGATCGGGAGCCGATCTCCTCGGTGCACGATGCGGACATGGCCCTCGCTGAAGAAAAGATCCTCGGCGTCGCTGACCGCGCATGGCACGCGCGTGCTTCCCAGTAGCGATGCTCCAAGCGTCTGGCCCACCTGCGCCCCATCCGGGCCTCCCCTCAAACTGAACTGCGTGTGCCGGTCGATGTGGGCGTACTCCTCCGTCGCCGTGGTCTCTTGGATGCCCGCAGTGTGAACGTGTTCCCCTCGCATCTGTGAGCCGCGCGATTCGTCCCCGATCTTTCGCGAGGCTCGTGGTTACATGTCTGAATGCTTCTCTCGGCGCGCATGCCTCGCCCACGCTGGCGCCCACCACTGTGCGCTGGGCATTGCGGGTGGCCCTGTTTAGGCTGATTGTGGTCTTCGGCTTCTGGGTAGGTGTTCGCGTTTCATCCGATGCTGGCGGCGCTGGTAGCGTCGGTAATGCTGGTGATGTGATAGTCGTATCCCCATGTGCTTGAAAGACTTGGCGCCGGTAGCATAGCGCATGTTCGCTCGCTTCAGGGCATGCGCATCTGCCTTCATTTCTGGGATCCCTCAGGGCTGCCCAATGCAGAAACTCCGTAATGCACAGCTCCTTGCCGTAGTTGGTCGGCAATATAGCTGCTCTGACCAGGTCAATCAGGTCGTCGACGTTCTGGAACTTCTCAGCATGACCTTTGGCCGTTCAGTCGCGCAATGCATTCCAATTCCCAAGGCTACCGAAGAGGAACTGCACGAAGAGGAACTGCACGCAAGCGCTGTACTGCATCATAAACACTCACTGCCAGAATGGAGACCATGTCGCCTTTCGATGTGGCTCTCGTCAGTGTGCCCACTGCGCCCTGCGAGTCGGTGAATATGCTGATGCTGACGTCGGCGTCTAGATGCAACGCCTATATGATAGCGATCAGTTTGGCTTGCGTTGGATCGAATACAGCATAGTTGGTATCCATGTTGATGCGATCTCGCATTGCATTTCCAATAGGATCATGCAAGCTACATTCATCATCTTCCCGTGATATCAAAATTAGCGGCCATCCAGATGCTTCTTTGTTTGTGGGTACCGCCGTAACCGTGTAGATGTAATAGTTGACCGGGCAAGCCGCCGTGAACTTTGCCAGCTCCAGCGCGGCTTGAATAAACTCATGGATCCCCATGTCCTCGGGGCAGGGTCCTCGGTCCTGAAGTCGATCCTGTCAGCGATAGGCTTCGGCGCGGCTGCTGCGCATGTGAGCAACACCTCTACGTGGCCATTGTCGCTGGTGCTGCCTGCCCGCGGGGCGTCTCGATCTCGTTGGGCATAACGTCCCCGCGCGTCTGCGATCCGCTGCAATTCCCCCTTGCCCGGCGGCCCCGTGGATTTCTCAACAGATGCCTTGGTATTTGATACTCCTGGCCGCACATGATCGAGGGATGGGCCCGCCTCGATCTGCCCTCGCACAATTCCCTGGTCGAGCCACGCGGGGGGGGGGGGGGGGGGCCGGACTGCAAAGGGCACGGGCGCAGAGCATCCCGAATTACTTCTTGAATATGCGCATGGTCTGTTGCATCGGCTAGTCCAAGCGGCCTGGCACCTGCACCTGGCAACCCAATCGCAGGCGGGCACTGCGCGTCTTCACGTTGTGTAAGTTGTCGTTGGTAGACGTCGCACGCTGGAAGTCGCCAGGTCGGCCTGATCGATGGCGGGCGATCTTCGCGCGCGCCATGTCGCACCGCTGCTTCCAGGATCATATTCCAAGCATGCACGGGGTCCGAAATCAGCCCGCCTTGGCCTCCTAGCGGCGGGCCGGGATGCCGTCGATCTTCTCGTCGGCGGCGACTGAGTTGGAGAACCTGCCGAAGGGGGGATCGACCTGCGAGCGATACGCGACGGCTGCGGACGACCCGATGATGAGGAAGCCGAGCTGTCTGGACTTCCTCCGGTTCGAAATGCACGCTTCTGGATCCCAAGCCGCGGCAACGATCGAGCTCGCTCATGTCCTCTCGGTGGCGCGTCTCCTTCTGAGATGCGAGACCTCCCAGGTTGTCGATGGCGCGCTGGTCGTTATCCTCCTTCTTCTGGCTCTTGCTACTGGGAGCTGGCCCTGGTTCTGTGTGGAGCCCCTGGCGTCCTCGATGTTCTGCGCGATAAGTTACACTGCGCCCCGCGCGCTCGAGGCCGCGATCCCCCCTAAATTGCGCCGGGCTCGCGCTCACAAGGCGGCGACCCCGGGCAAATTACTCGGGATTCGCGCTCCCAGGGCCACGATTCGTTGTACATTACACTGGATGCACGCTCCCAGGGCCACGACCCCTTGTAAATTACGCTGGTCTCGCGCTCCCAATGCCAAGACCCATCAGAAGTATCTTGGATTTGCGCTCCCAGGGCCAAGATCCTTTGATTATTGCAAAGGATGCACGCTCCCAGGGCCACGATCCATCGTAAATTGCCGGGTGTACTGCTTGCAGTAAGATCTCTATCCAATTACGCTGGATTCGCGCTCCCAGGGCCAGGATCCCTATTAAATTACGCTTCGTCCGCACTCCTAGTGTCAAGATCCCTTGTAGATTAGGCGGCCTCCGCTCCCCCAGGTCCACGATCCCTTGCAAATTACACCGCGTCCGCGCCCCCAGGGCCAGGATCCCTCGTAAGTTACATTATGTCCGTGCTCCCAGGGCCAGGACACCTGGTAAATCACACGGCGTCCGCGCTCCCATAACCACGATCACCTGTAAATAACGATGCTTCCGCACTCTGAGAACCACCTGGGCAGCCTGGGGCGCCCAGGCCGTTTAAGTTATGCAAAACAAGCGTTTCGCACGAGACATCCTCGAATGTTCGGCCCGCCGGGCGCGCCATCCTCGAGCGGTCACGGAACAAGTCTGCTTTTTCACATGTTCTGATACAAATTCCAAGGCCTCCAGACCTCCCGATTGATCACGGATTCTGCACAAGACGCTCTGCACCAATGTTATTTTTTTACGGGGGAAAAATGCGTCTGCGGAGCCCGTGATTTATCGAGGATCCGAGATAAGGGGGCGCACTTTTCTCGAGCGGGCACTCGCGAAACGCATCTGTTCAAAGATATCATACTTTACCTGTTCAGCTATCGCAAATAATTCCACTGGCCCTCATCAAGTCGAAACCGGGGGTAAACATCTAAAGAAGAACCTTGGGCCGGCGGCATCTTCCGGAGAAAAAGAAACACAACAAAATGATACCTGTACAGCTACTATATTCAGAGAGAGAGAAGAAGAGAAAGAGAGAGAGAGAGAGAGGAAGAGAAAGAGAGAGAGAGAGAGAAAACAAAAAAATAGACAGAGAGAGAGACAGAGAGAGAGCGATGAGGCGGGACAAAGAGAGAACGAGGAGGGAAGGGTCGTAGGAAGAGAGGGGGAGGAGAGGAGAGAGAAGAGACGAGGAGCGAAGGCCTGTAGGAAGAGGGGGGGAGATGAGGGGGGGAGAGGGGAGGAGAGCGAAGAGAGCACGAGCGAGGACGGGCACGAGGAAGGACAAAAGCAAGGAAGGGAGGAATAGACCTGGCGCGAGTGAAGGCGGGAGCCGAGGAGAAGGGGCGCGGGGAGGACATAGCCAAGCGCGCTCCACGATTCGCAAGAGTAACTACTCGCAAATGGCCTGGATCCGCCGCGGGGGATTCAGGACCCACCACATCGAGACAGGCATGTGTCGCTCGGACATTTGTGAGCAGGCCCTCTGCGGGCAGTGGAACGCGCTCCGCTAGACAAGGGGGGGGGGGGGAGGCCGGCCTTCCAGAAGGCGCCGCGCGCGCGAGCCGCTGGGAAGGAAGGGGAGGGGGGCGGGAGGGGGGGAGAGGGAGCGGGAGAGGGAGGGGAGGAGGCGAGGGGGAGGGGGGAAGGGAGGGGGGGGAAGAGGGGGAGGGGACAGGGGGGGGACAGAGGGGGAGAGAGGAGGAGGGGAGAAGCGGGATGGGGAAGGGGGGAGAAGGGGGAAGAGGGCGAGGGGGGAGAGGGGAAGGGAGGGGGGGAGGAGGGGGAGGGGGAAGAGGGGGGGGACAGGGGAGAGAGGGAGGAGGGGAAAAAAAGGGGGGGGCAGGGGGAGAGGGAGGAGGGGGGAGGGGGAGAGGAAGGGGGGGGGAGGGGAGGGAGGGAGGAAGGGGAAGGGGGGGGAGGGGGGAAGAGGGGAGGGGGGAAGAGGGGAGGGGGACAGGGGGAGAGACAGGAGGGGGAAAAAGCGGGAGGGGGAAGGGGGGGAGAAGGGGGAAGAGGGGAGGGAGGGAGGAGGGCAAAGGGAGGAAGGAGGAGGGAGCGGGAGAGGAAGCGGGGGAAGAGGGGAGGACAGCCAGAAGAACAGGACGTCGGCGGCGGCCCAGCCTCCGCAATTTCGGACCGATGGAAGTTGTTGATGCGCTCTTGCTCACGACCTGCGCGGCGGATTGCCGTCGATGCGCGCTCCGGCGATCCGTCCTTATAAACCCGGTGGTGATGTCAGCATCATCATCATCATCATCATCATCATCATCATCATCATCATCATCATCATCATCATCATCATCATCATCATCATCATCATCATCATCATCATCATCAATCATCAGATCATCATCATCTCATCATCATCATCATCATCATCATCAGATCGATCCTCATCATCATCATCATCATCATCTCATCATCAGCATCATCATCATCATCATCCTCATCCTCATCATCATCATCATCATCATCATCATCAGATCATCATCAGATCATCCTCATCTTCATCACCATCATCAGCATCATCATCATCATCATCATCATCATCATCATCATCATCATCCTCATCATCATCAGATCATCATCATCATCATCATCATCAATCATCATCATCAGATCATCATCATCATCATCATCATCATCATCATCATCATCATCATCCAGATCATCATCAGATCATCATCAGATCATCATCAGCATCATCATCATCATCATCAAGCATCATCATCATCATCATCATCATATCATCATCATCATCATCATCATCATCATCAATCATCATCAGATCATCATCATCATCATCATCATCAGCATCATCATCATCATCATCATCATCATCAGATCATCATCAGATCATCATCATCATCATCATCATCATCATCATCATCAGATCATCATCATCATCATCATCATCATCATCATCATCATCATCATCAGCATCATCATCATCATCATCATCATCATTAGCAGCAGCAGCAGCAGCAACATCAGCATCGCCAGCATCATAATCATCATCATCATCAGCATCATCATCATATCAGCATCATCATCATCATCATCATCATCATCATCGTCGTCATCATCATCATCATCATCATCATCAGCAGCATCAGCATCAGCATCAGCATAATCAGCATCATCATGATCAGCAGCAGCATCAGCATCAGCATCATCATCATCATCATCATCATCATCATCAGCGTCATCATAATCATAATCATCATAAGCAGCAGCATCATCAGCATCATCTGCATCATCATCAGCATTATCGTAATCACCATCAGCATCAGCATCATCATCATCATCATCATCATCATCATCATCATCATCATCATCATTGTCGTCATCGTCATCGGCGTCATCATCATCATCAACAACAACACAATCATCCTCATCGTCAGCAACAGCATAATCATCACCACCACCACCACCATCGTCATAATCAGGCTCATCATCATCAGCAGCAGCATCATCATCATCAGCATCATCGTCATCATCATCATCGTCATCATCGTCATCGTCATCGTCATCGTCGTCGTCATCGTTGTCGTCGTCCTCCTCCTTTTTCCCGACCCTCTTCATTATCTTCCACCGTCGCTTGCTCATCCTGCCCCCCCTCCTGGGCTTCGGGCGTATCTCTCGATCGCCTACGCCCGCCGACACTGACCGTGGCGACGCGCGCGGGCAAGATGAAAAAAGAAACGCGAGGAAGGTGGCGGCCAGCTCCTCCTCCCCGGCCCCCCGCCCCCTCCCAGATCCGGGAAATGCGTGTTCTTCACACTGGTCGTTTTCGCCCGGTTTCGGGACCCTGGACCATCACAGATCGATCCGGCTCGAAAGATGACGCAGAACGATGGGGTCTCGGGCTCTGGTCGCGACGTTTTGGCGATGCTGTGATTTCTTCGCAACGCTGGATCTCATTTGTCTCTGCACGCTCATCATCCATATCCGCATCCTCCTCTGCCTACCCGACCCCCTCGGCCTTTCTCGCCATCCTCCTCCTCGTTCTCGCCCTCGCCGTCGTCCACCTGTCCCCGTCGGCAATCCGCTTCCCGCCCGTCGTCCTCGCCATCATGCTCCCACCCGCCTCGTCCTCGGCCTATTTCCCGCCCGCCTCGCCCTCGTCCTTCCGTTCCGAAGCCGCCCGAAATCGTCCTTCTGTCGTCGTCGCGTGTCCCGTTCTGCCGCTGCCCGCTCCTCATCACAGCAGGCCGCAGAGAGGGAAGACTTCACCGGGGCGCCTCCTGCCCCTGCATGAGCTTTTGCCTTGGTGGAGCGGTGTGGGAGGAGAGACGGTAGAGTGTGCAAGCTCGAAAAGGGTGGAGGAAGAAAGGGAGGAGGGAGGAGGAAGGACGAGAAAGATGAGGAGGAAGAGGAGGAGGAGGAGGGTGGGGGGAAAGGGACGAGGGAGGAAGGGGGAGATGGAAGGAGGGGGGAGATGGAGGGAGGGGAGAGGAAGGGGGGGAGGGAGGGGGAGGAGGGAGGGATGGATCTGTCGGCCTTCAATCCCCGAGTGTCGATGTGGCCCTGATTTCCAAGCACTGCGCAATACTGCCTCACTGGCACGATCTTCCTGCCGGGGGCACGCGCGAGGCAAGCATCGCCAGGCCGCGCCACCGGGGCAGAGCGTCACGGGTGCAGCTGAAAAGACCACAGGCCCGTGAAGTCAGGCTGCATAGCAGTTCCATGCAGTGAGCGAAAGCCTTCGACCGCAGCTGCCATCGCCGCGCGGTGCCGAAGATGTCGCGCGGCGGTTGTCAAGACAGTCCACCCCGTGCATCGTCCAAGGCTCGACTAGTTACGACCCTGGCCGAGCCCCGCCGGGCCGCTGTCGAAGGGGCCCGCGGAGGCGGAGGGGATTGCGGAGAGGGGCGCGGGGGGAGGGGGAAGGATGGGAAGGGAGGCATCCCTCCTTCCTTCCCTCCCTCCCTCCCTCCCTCCCTGCTCCCCTTTCGCTCCTCCCTCTCTCCCTGCTTCCCCCTCCTCTCCCTCCTTCCTCCCTTTGCTCCTGCTCCTCCTCCTCCCCCTCCTCCTCCCCCTCCTCCTCCTCCTCCTCCTCCTCCTCCTCCTCCTCCTCCTCCTCCCCTCGGATCTCGCACGCCCCCCCCCCCCCCCCCCAGCGGAGCCTGGAGAGCATCTCGTGCGCCAGCATCTCCTGTCGCGCGCAGGGGCCCACCGGGGCAGTGCTGGGGGCCAAGATCGGTATTCGGGGCCTCTGAGAACCTCCTCCTCCTCCTCCTCCCTCCTCCTCCTCCTCGCTCCTCCTCCCCTCCTCCTCCTCCTCCTCCTCCTCCTCCTCCTCCTCCTCCTCCTCCTCCTCAGACATCGAGATTCTGAAGGGGCCCACAAACACACAAATAAATACACACAAATAACAGGATTCCCCATATTTGGGGTTTCTGTCTTCCCCCCCACTTCCCATATTTTCCCATATTTTCCTGGGAGTCGACGATCAATTGTGTCTGTGTGTGTTCTTTCCCTCCTGAGATTCACGCGCGGCGAACACATCCACGCCCTCGCGGCCTGGACTCGGGCCGCGGTCCTGCGAGAGACGCGGTCGCGTGGACGCGATCCGCGCGGGGGGGGCATCCGCGAAAAAGCCGCCCCGCACCTCGGGGGCTCGCGGCCCGGGGGCCCAGCCCGCGAGGCCGCAGGTGCCGATGTGCTCCCCTCCACGAGCCTCCAAAACATCGAGATGGATGGAGGATGGAGGATGGGATGTTACAGGATCGGAGGAGACGATTGAGGACAGAGGCTACCTTGCTTCCTTGGGGGTACTTACTCTTGGGCCTGTGGACGCCTCGAGGGACTTCAGGGTGACTTCCGGAGAGCTCTGGAGGGAGGGGGAGGGATCAACCATGAAAGCGATCGCTTCAGGTTGTAGTTCTCGCCGTCACCATTACCATGGTGTTGTTCCTTCTCACTTCCCTATGTGCCCTCCTCCTCTTCCTCTTCGTCATCTGCCATTCTCGCCTGAATTGCCCCGCGGACCCTTCCCCCGTCCTCCTCACATTGTTTGTGCAGGCTCCTCCGCGGCGAGCTCCTGGAGGACCTCGCGAGAGCTTCTCGGGGGCTCCCTGGGCGCCTCTGGACACATCCCTGTAGAGGGACAGGCCCGACTAAACCCTTGTTCTGTCTCTCCCTCGTTCTTCTCCTGACGACCTACCAGACCACCCCAACCCAACTCGAGGACCCGAATTTCGGGATGGGGGGGGGTACGGGCTCCAGTTGTGTCTTTGTCCATATTCCCGGACCCGCCCCCCCACTGGAAATGGAGGGCACATTGAGGCCTTCGGGTTGGGTTGGGGTGGTTTGGTGGGTGGTGGTCTCCCACCTTAGGAGACCGATTTCTGACCCCACCCACTTCCCGAGGTGCCTTGCGAAAAGCGGTTTCCAGAGGTGGAGGTGGGCAGTTTCCCCGCCCCAGGGGAAGGAAAAACTATCCACTTCCACCCCCGAGGGCCTATCATAGAATCGAGGATCCAGAGGTGGATGTGGTCAGAAATCGGTTTTCGACACCTCTCTGGCTCTCCCCCGACCCTGGCAGAGCAGCAGCACGGCGACGAGACGCAGCCCTCCGGAGGTCCGCACGGCTGCTCCAAAGGGGCCCCTCCCTTGGCGCGCGGGGCGTGCCAGTGGTGGGTCGGGCACCGGCCCCCTACCGGGCGGAGGCCTGGCCATTGCTCGGACGCCCATTTCCTGTGCTTTTGTTCGGATTCGCGCGTGGTTTTTTTTTCGCGAAATGATCAAGGATGCTCCTCGATGGTCCTCGCCGAAGGAAACATGCACACGTCCGAGCGATGCCACGATTTTGAACGAAAAATACCAAATAGCCAGAATATACCCCAAACTCGTCAAAAACCAATCAAAAAATCCTCCCCAGACTATTTTCTTATTATTTGTGTACCCCTCGTGTAGAGGGACACGCCCGACTTCACGCCAGCGAGCGGCGCCGGAGGCGTCGCGAAGGGGGGGGCACCCGCGCCGAGCCAAGAAGTCCGCCGGCCCTGTCGGCGTGCGCGAATGTGACTTTTCCCCGTTCGAGTCGGGCTTCTCCGTTCGGGTCGTCGTCTCCGCCGTCCACCGTTCCATTTCTCTGGGCCCTCCTCCTCGAGCGC